GCAGGATAGGCCGAACTCCGCCCACAAGGGGCGAAGTTTGTGTAATAATCTAAACTTGGACCTGGAGCGTTCAAATTTAGTAGGAATACAGGCGGCAGGATGGGAGCACTCATAGTGGTTGGCAAGATCCCACAGTGGGCGGGGTTTGGGAGGGAAATTATAACTCCTTCAGGGGGCGGAGCCTGCAGAGACTGTCAAAATGGACCTAGGGCGACCAAACTTGGTAGGAATAGAGGAGGCTGGATAGGTACACTGATAATAGGTTGCAGGACTAAACTTCGTCCCAAAGGGCTGGGCGTGAATAAATAGTGTTAGTTCGGACCCAAACCGTTGAAATTTGAAGGCACAAGGAGTTGGCTGGGAACATTGATGGTTGCTAACATAATAGACTCAGTCGCAATGAAGTCTCTGGATATTTTTTTCTCTAAATGATCGCCTTTGTGATATTATACGATGTTCTATTCGGGCATAGCGAAGATGGCTTACAGAAAAATTTGCTCCCAATTCGGAGCTAATACTGAGGGTGTAGAGCTTTCAAAGAAAAAGTAGAATCCGAAGTGTTATTCACGCATAGCAAACTTCTCACAGGAAGGAGTAACGCCCGGCGTAGCCGGGCGAACCCATAAGAAGGAGGGAAGCCCGGCGTTAGCCGGGCGGCCCGACTGGTGAGATACATGGAACGTAGAATTCACAAACGAGACACTTCCTTCACGACATAACTCTGTTCGAATACCCAAATTTTTACCCGTCATGTATACGACGCATCGAAAAGGGATCCTAGCTAGGGAGGGAGCGGGGAGGGGGAGTGGGGAGGGATGTGCACCACGTGCGCAACGCGCGTGGCAACCTGCGCGGAGAACGTGGTGACGATTCGTGGGACTCTGACGCCAATTTTCGGGGCATAAACCCAAGCAGGGTAGTTTGGTAGGGTCAGATGATCCATCTAATCTGTTCTACTTCGAATTTGGGCCCAATAATAGGCGCCAAAGTCGTTCAAATAGTTATGAACTTCGCCGCGCGATTTGCCGCGCGCATCCTCGGACGCACGTTCGTCCACATACCTGGGAGACGGAATGGATTACGAGTTAGCCACTGTATCACACGAATTCGTACGAGCCAGGGCCCGACGTTTATGTGTCAGTGACGCTTGACGCCGAACTGTGAAAGCACAAAGGTTTCATTCGAACACCGACGAACGCTCTCTTGGTGAGGGGGGGGGGGGGGGGGGCAGAAGGAATTAATTTGTACGTAGGGCAATCGGGAACTGAGTTAGATCGGTACCACTTTTTCACTGCCTCATTGCTGTCAGTGATGGGAAAATCGCGTTTCGATCGCTGGCTGACATTACATTATAGTATGGGAAAGCGCGGTCAGGCAGAACAGTGAATCAATAATTCCTCGGTATCAACCATTTCGGTTCTCTATCGCTATTTTCGTTGAATTCATTATTAACGGATGTTCAAACATATCCATCCATTCCTCCTTCATTATGATAAATATTTCCAGGTAACTCAAGTCTCGGTAAAATGGCGACCAAGATCAGCGGAGGTGACATCGTTGAGATGCAAGGAGACGAGATGACAAGGTGTAAAATCTTTTTTATAGTATTCGCGAACGTTGAATGATATTGATTGGCCTTGTGAGGTAGGAAATCGGTGAAATTGGTAGGAAATCAAAAACAAAAATGAAATATATAGTATTTCTAATGTCATTAATAATGATGGATAGATGTAATGTATCGCTCACGAGGGCGTTCTCGGTTGAATTTAGATTTTATGGTGTGGGTAGGAGGAATCACTCAATAGAATTTAAAAAACCTGTGATGTATCATTTCCTTGGATTTTCTTCATGAGAGGTGCAATTTTGTAGCATCAAGATGTATACATTTGGAATATGGAAAACAAACACGAAAACATTCTTAACACCGTATGTATTCATTGTCAGTGAAATAACCGAACCATGTATGCGGTAACTGTCGCATTGGGTGATATTTAAAGCCTGAACTTAGTTCAGTAAACCTTTCTCAATATCATTGTGCTGCAGGATGGGTGGTCTGAAGCGATTGGGTGCGAACCTCGAACACTCGAACATTTTATTAGTATCTTCTATGTATAGATCGTTATCATCCCTTTCCATTTTGTGCCCTCAAAGTTATGCTATATGTTACATTCCAAATCTAGAATAAAGTGCAATTACAATTCTCACAAGAAAAGAGAGAAGCGATTGAAAAGTACAGCTCTTTAAGACGATTTTCCCGGCAAACAAGCCGGAACAAAAGCCATTAAGGCGTCTGCAGTTGCAGAGGTTGCATTAGTTAGGGGAATTTTGATGCATTTCTTATTTCCTGAATAGAAAGTTTNAAAAGTGATATTCCTTGAAATTGTAGGATCATCTGGGATCTCATCAAAGAGAAACTCATTCTACCTTTCGTCGACCTGAACATTCACTATTTCGATTTAGGAATTGAAAACAGGGATGCGACAGATGACCAGGGTACGTCTTTGAAGTGTTTTTTTTTTGTAGGCGGTCATTCATTTAAGCCAGATACTTCATGCTTGATAACTTTTCAATAAATGGTTTGCAAACTAAAGCAATATGTGTGACTTATGTAGTCTATAATTCATAGTGGCGTTTGATAGCATTTTTGATTTCAATGGCTTTTAGAACATTGTATTACATTACAAGTATGATGACCTAGGAGAACTTAACCAATCTGGAGGCTACACAAATGCTCAAAGACTAGAGATAGGGCAGCATACGTTGTAATGAAAAGCAACTTTTTCTGTATGCCTACCATAAATTTTCTCTCAAATTACAACCACCCTAAGTCATCAAAGTGAAAGACTGAGAGGAAAGTTCATAAAATCTTACATATATCAGTTATTCAGTGATGCTATTTACCCCTTGGCATTTTCGATCCTCTTCTCTTCCAGGACCATGTTAGGCTAACTGTCGCGGATATCGCGGCACCTGCTTTAAATTAANTTGAAGATTCCTTCTGCGTCAATTCAATGCTGGACTGTTCTCGGGAAAAGAGTAGAGTGTAAAGGACCCAAAAAACACTAAGCTCAGAAAAAAAGTTTTTCAGTTACCATTGATGCTGCCAAAGCTACTCTGAGGTACAATGTAGCCGTCAAATGTGCCACAATTACCCCCGATGAATATCGGGTCAAAGGTAAATCTGAATCTAGAGATTGGTGAATCATGAAGCATTAAATTTAACGAGACCGCACAGAGTTCAACTTGAAGAAGATGTGGAAGTCGCCAAACGGTACTATTCGTAATATTCTCGGAGGTGAGCTTTGTTCAACTTTACTCTGCTTACTTCGTACATATGGATTGTTCTAGAAAATTGAGAACTGAAAATGTTGCAGTGTTGCTCATTTGTTCTCAAAAAATTTGGCTCCCTATAAGGAGTTTTCCTGTTGTAAAAGGATATGATGTTCCATTGCACCTGCTTACTTCATTACGATGAAAGACTTAAGCTAGGTATGGGTTGAAGACTTTGTGAAAAGGAACGGATAAATACTCCAATGCTTGGCATAAAGGTGGTCGTAAGCTGCAAAATGAACGGCGGAATAGCCTATCCTAGATAATATCTGCAACCATTGAACCTCATGTCTGCTCATTTGTCAGATGTTTGCCACTTTTCCTGGAATAAGTCTAGAGGTTGTTCCCTACAGTCCTGTTTCCTTCTTTTCTTTAGGTACCGTATTTCGTGAGCCGATTATAGTCAAGAACGTTCCTCGACTTGTAAGTACGTGGTCGAAGCCAATTATTATCGGCCGTCACGCCCACGCCGACCAGGTTTGTCTAGATGTTTTCACGATGTGGGAGTTTTTACCGTATTGCAACATTTTAGTACAAAGCCACCGATTTTGTTGTCCCTGGACCTGGAAAACTGGAAATCACATTCAAGCCTGCTGATGGGGGTGATGAAATAAAACATGAAGTGTTCGAATTCAAAGGTCCTGGAGTGTCTCTTTCAATGTACAACACTGATCAGTCAATCAGGTTTGGCATCTAAAGTCATGGATATTGTGTTGTTGTGTCAATGTGGCTTCATAACAAAGGCACGTATAGAACATCTAGCGATCAAAATTTCTTGGCTGTTGTTCATACTTGAATTTTAATCACAAAATTTTTGCTTTCATATCTTCGTTGTGATCTCTTCCATTCGATGCAAGATTTTTCGATACAGAGATTTCGCCCATGCATCATTCAAGTATGCTCTTCGTCGTGGATATCCCCTCTATTTGTCCACTAAGAACACTATTCTGAAGAAGTATGACGGTCGCTTCAGGGACATCTTCGCGGAGATTTACCCGGTCAGCTTTATGATAGTATCACAACAGAATAAGTTTTTCTGTAGCAACTTTTGTACATTTCAGGAGTATGAAACGGAGTTCAAGGCTGCAGGTATTTGGTATGAACATCGGCTCATTGATGATATGGTAGCGCAAGCAATGAAAAGCAGCGGCGGATTTGTTTGGGCCTGCAAGAACTATGACGGAGACGTGCAATCAGACTCTGTTGCTCAAGGTGCTCATCATACTTTCTATATCTATTTTCTATTTTGCTCAGATTGAAGTGTTTATAGTCAATGTTTATAAGTTATCACGCTGTTACTTGCAGGTTACGGATCATTGGGCCTCATGACATCAGTGTTGATAAGTCCAGACGGTAGAACAGTTGAAGCAGAAGCTGCTCATGGTACTGTCACGCGTCACTACCGGCTACATCAGCAGGGTCAAGAGACATCAACCAATCCAATAGGTTCGTTGTCAGCGCACGACCGTTGAGCTGTTAATACGGTCTTTCTTCCAGCATCCATTTTCGCTTGGACTCGCGGTCTGGCTCATAGAGCTTCACTTGACAATAATGAGGAGTTAGCAAGATTTGCAGAAAACCTTGAGAAGGTGATTAACCATATAGTTTATATACATAGTTTACATGAAAACGCTATGCCGTGTTGAGATCTGGTGATTCACGATGAGAAGGGAATGCAAAGGGTTTTATGTTTCTCTTTTTCCACTTTGAAGGGAGAACCCCTGGGTTTGGTTAGAAATATGCTCTCCATGATTCCTTGAAATTCTACTCAAGGATTCGTAGGCCATATATTTAAAAAATCTGCCTCGAATCCAGCCACCTCTTCATTAGCATCTTCATTCTTGATGTTGCTGTATTTTACAGGTGTGTATCAAGACCATTGAAGATGGCTTCTTTACCAAAGATCTTGCTATATGNTTTTCCACTTTGAAGGGAGAACCCCTGGGTTTGGTTAGAAATATGCTCTCCATGATTCCTCATTGACAGAACGCTGAGTTGCCTGTTTCCTTGAAATTCTACTCTAGGATTCGTAGGCCATATATTTAAAAAATCTGCCTCGAATCCAGCCATTTCTTCATTAGCATCTTCATTCTTGATGTTGCTGTATTTTACAGGTGTGTATCAAGACCATTGAAGATGGCTTCTTTACCAAAGATCTTGCTATATGTATTAAAGGCATGAACAAGTATGTTGTCATTTTCTGGTCCCTTCTCGTTAATCCTCATTGCGTGTCTTATTGCTCTTTATTACAGTGTTACACGAGCAGATTACTTGAACACATTCGAGTTCATGGATAAGCTCGCCGAGAATTTATCGAAGGAGCAAGCTCGCCGATAACTGTGATATGTTTTGTAATCAATTGCTCGAAGTTGTTTAATGGTTGTGCAACAAAGTTCTATATCTATACACGTTACCACTTTTGCCCCTCGGCTTTAATCGCAGTGACCAGTCGGCTCGCCCAGCTGACGCCGGGCTCCCCTCCTTCCAGTGTTGAAATGGCCTCCCCGCCTGCACCTTTTTCAAATTTGAAGGCTTCGGTAGATGAGAACAAACTATTCATTCCCGGCTAAACGAACACCAACACAATTCGTGCTCGCCCTGTCCGCCATGAACATACCTCTTTAGGTTCTGTGTGTTTGAGGAACTCGATTTATTGCTCTACAGGTTCGCTCTGTCGTCGACGACGACCTCTCCTGTGAATTGTACCAACTGGCCCTCGCTGTATGGGCTGGGTCGGAAGAAGTTGCGAGGAAGACACGATTTGCCATCACTGTATATTCCACTTCTCTCTATCTAAAATCGTCCGAACACCCGTCTTTCTGTCGCTCTTTCGCAATAATCTATCCTCTATATATATATATATATATATATATATATATATATATATA